GGGTTGTGATCTTATCACATGAGACAAATTTGAAGGCTATAACAGTGAAAGAAGCCAAGCAAGTGGACACTCGTTCCTTCAAGTGCACATGGTATGGATTCAGATTTGGCAAAGCATGAGACAGGTAACTACGCCTTACGAATCTTAGTTTGAAGCTCTAAGGTGGAAACCCGAGAAGGAAGTGCCTAGCGTGCAAACACTGATCTGTCCAAAAGCGATGAAGCCTTGAGAAGTTGAAGTACAAGGGATCAGTTTGAGGCAAGAGAAACCAAGGAGTGAATTGAGGAAGAGGGCTTAGGACTCATAAATTTGATGGGTTTGAATCATACCACATGAGACAAAATTGAAGGCTATATGGGTGAAAGAAGCCAAGCAAGTGAACACTCGTTCCTTCAAGTCTTGTACACATGGGTATATATTCAGATATGGCAAAGCATGAGATGGGTAACTACACCTTAGGAATCTTAGTTTGAAGCTCTAAGGTGGATTAACCCGAGAAGGAAGTTCCTAGCGCGCAAACACTGATCTGTCCAAAAGCTATGAAGCCTTGAAAGTTGAAGCAGAAGTGATCACTTTAAGGCAAGAGAAACCAAGGAGTGAATTAAGGAAGATGGCTTAGGACTCAGAAATTTGATGGGTTTGAATCTTACCACATGAGACAAATTTGAAGGCTATAAGGGTGAAAGAAGCCAAGCAAGTGGACACTCGTTCCTTCAAGTCTTGTACACATGGGAATGGATTCAGATCTGGCAAAGCATGAGACAGGTAACTACGCCTTAGGAATCTTAGTTTGAAGCTCTAAGGTGGATTAACCCTAGAAGGAAGTTCCTAGCGCGCAAACACTGATATGGTCCAACAACACTTATTAACTTAATGGGCCAAGACACTCACCAAGCCCAACCCAATTCAAGAATAAATCCTAGATGAGGTGGCAACACGTGATTGGACAATTTGAATGAAGATTTCACCCTCCTCACATGTCCACCTCGGTCTAGCAAAGAGAAAAAGGGGATGAGATTGCTTTTCCCACCTTAAGCGCTACACAAGACAAGGAAAGGTGATGCAAGAACTTGAGTAAGACACTCCAACTCTAACCAATGCATGTGAACTCTTTTAGCCAAAAAGCAACTCTCCTTTTCTCCTTACACACCTTGGAGGGCGCACTCATGACAAGAAAAGGAAGCTTTCTTCTTACACACTCAAGCCATGCATGACATCTTACAAGGTCAAATCTTCCTCCTCCTTAGGCATACACGGTCACCAAGGGAAGTCACATGACCAAAGCTCCTCTCTCCTCACGGCCACATCACTCAAGGAGCCAAGAAACCCTAGTGCAAATTCACACTCAAACCCTCCTTGAATCATGTGCCTTTATCATGAATAGATTTGAATTAAAAATTAGGAAAATATTTTCCATCTTTCCCACAAGTCACGGCCATCAACTAAGGTAAGCGAGGAATTTTCTCTCTCACTCTAAAGACCAAACTAAGTCAAGTGCCAAGTGGAATACCTGCATCACCTCTCATCCTTACACACTCGACCATCAACAAAGAACAAGGAAAGATTGCTCACACTCCACATCCAAACACCATTCACCACCAATGCATGTAGATAACTTCCCCCACATTCACAAGTTACACTCAAGTACCCTTCACCCAAATGCATGTAGATAGCTTCCTCCACACTCACAAGTCATAACCTAATACCTCAAGGAAATGATTGCAAGGCTTAAATAAAAGAACAAGCAAAGAGCTTCCTCCTCCCCCTAAGGCCGTGAAGCACCAAGCAACAAGATAAAGGACTCCTTCCTTCTCCTTCTTCCCTTGGCTTCTGCCATTTCTCTCCTCATCAAGCCAAGCATGTAAGAGAGAAACCAAGAGGTTGTTGGAAGCAACTCTCAACCCTAGAAAACTCCTTGAAGATCAAGTGTGAAGCATTAGTTAGAGTTATATTTTAGACATCATCTTTGAGGTAAGATCTTATGAGCTCTTCATCCCTTCAAGTGAGTAGAATGAACTCTAACTAATTTATATGACTAGATCTTGGACTAATAAAGCCATGCATGCATCTTTCATCTTTAAAATCACCTCCTAAGTGTATCACCTCAAAATGGCCGAACCTAGGTGTGTCACTAAATGTTTAATATTTTCTTTAAAGTATCATGGAGAGGGTTGAAGTGATGGTGTTAGCATGATAAGTAAGCATCCTTTAAAAATCATCTCCTAAAGGCATGAACCCTAAATGGCCGAACCTATATACCTTCCTAAATGTGTGATATTTTTCTTTTTAAGTACCATGGAAAGTGTTAGCATGATGTGTACGAAGTAGCATTTGAAAAATCTCCTTTTTATGACCTTAACCCTAAATGACCGAATTTAATGATCTATCATTTTATGTGAGCATTAAACCCATGAACATGATATTAAAATTTTCCTTTAAGTGTATGACCCTAAAAGGTCGAACCCTAATGGGCCTAGGAGAGAAATTTGTGAATGTTTTCTTGGTATTATGATGTATGGCCGAAATGTATAATAAAAATAGGACCTATACATGAAAGCCATTAATGAAAAATCATCTCCTAGGTATTTTGTTTAAAAGGGCAGAATCTATATCAAGAAGAAAACCAAGTTCGATCTTATGAATATGTACTAAGGATGATTATGTTACTAGGCCAAACCAAAGGAACAAGCAAGGACCAAGAACCCCTTTGAACTCTTGGGAAGTGATAAGACAAGACTATTGTGTAAGTGATTTATGGTTGTTGAAGCGGCTACCCTATGGTTGCCACCCCTTTATGTTAAAGTGAGGTTTGACTGCAATATGTTATATGATGCATTACATGATATGCTTGGTTGTTTGGAACTAATGTTTATTCATGCAAGTTTTGTAAGATGGCCTGTGCACTAATACCACAGAGGCAACCTGACGAAGACCCTGGGTATTCGTCCATAAGACCATGGAGAGTAATTGTCATGGCAGGATTGGTATGATGATATGAAAGCATGATTATTTTCCAAACTATCCTTCAAATGTTTTGCCATTCTATTATTATGTGACTATTGCAGGAGTAAGCATCATGGTTTGGAGGTTGCTCCAACTGTGAGTCCTTACTGAGATCCCCAATCTCATCCCCCTTTGGGAAATCCCCTTTCAGGTAAAAATGACCAAATACGGCAGGGAAAGAGGTTGGTGCGAATTGAAGAGGAACCTGCGCAACCATGTGCAGATAAAGTTGATAATACACCATCCCTTTTAGATAGAGTTTTTGATCTAATATTTGAAGGAAAGTGGGAGCTGGCAAACTATATTATGGATCAGGAAATGGAATCCCTATGGATTGAGGGTGCACCTTACTAAAGATGCACCAAAGATTATAATTTGGATGACTGTAATAGACTATGCCACTTAGACTATTTTGAACATTTTATATGCATTTGAAGTACAATATTTTGGATGTTTATGTTTTATGGACTATGAAATTAGTAGGGAAGATTAAGTAACATAAGTCACTATCCGCATAAGACACTTAAGTAACTACCTACTTAGTAGTAGTCAAAACTAAAATTATGATCATGTAAGTGAGCCCTTAAATAGCGCATAAGTATGAGCAGGGTAACCAAGAAGAGATTAACTTGTAAGTAGATCGTAGACAAAGCAAAAGAGAAACTCATGACTAGTAGAGGAATAGATAAGTTAGGGAAAAGAACGAAATTAATTCCCATTAGTAAATTTTAAGTTAACCACGCTTAAGTACATACATGGATTCCGAGCATTGAATGTCAAGCAATGTTACACCTTTGATGAGGATATTAAGGGTGTTACATTTTTATGGTATCAGAGCAAATTTCTGATGTTTAGGATGAGAATTACACTCTAACTCCTTTATTGTACCTGTAACATATGTGTAGCACTGTGCCTCCACGTAGGGTACCTACTCGCAGTAACCCACAAGGACCCGAGGACATACAAGGCCAGATTAACACCTTAAGCATCACACAGATGCAGACTAATGCAGCGGAAATGTTTCAGAATATTCTGAATGAAATCAGGCGCAACCCTCACAACGCGACCAATAATAATAACGTCGCAAGTGGCTTAGGCACTGGAGGAGCCGGTAGTGGTGGACCCCAACCGCAGCCAGAACATGGAGCGACTGGCCAAAATAATCAAGATCTGCTGCTGACATTTAGGAAACACAAGCCGCCCTCCTTTCAAGGAGGACACGATCCAATAGTAGTTGTGCAGTGGCTACAAGCCATGGACAAAATATTCAGAGTGGTTCAATGCACCGATGATCAAAAGGTGCTGTTCTCAGTGTATATGTTGGAAGGAGACGCCCATCATTGGTGGGCTAATGCGTCCCAACCCTTGGAGATGCAAAATGCAGCAATTACGTGGGCCGTGTTCGAAGAAATGTTCTTGGAGAAGTATTTCCCGATGTCAATCCGGGATAGCAAGCAGGCGAGTTTGACCGACTCGTGCAAGGAACCATGACGGTGGATCAGTATCATGCGAAATTCAACGAACTACTCCGACTGGCAACTTACCGAGGAACTATTCCCATGCCAGACTTTCTGACAGCAAAATTTCAAAGGGGTTTATCCGCTAGGATTGCAGAGCTGGTAGCTGGCAACGACCCCTGTGACCTAGCCACCCTGGTGAACAGATGTAGGAAGGTGGAAGCAATAGGATTGCAAGCAAGGAAGCCTGCAGAAACCAGCGGATCTGGATCCAAAGCTCCTATGGCTAAGAATGGAAAATGGAGAGGAAAACGCGGAGGAAGACCATGGCAGCCTAGGCGTGATGACAACAAGTTTAAGAGGCCCGAGAATTTTCGAGGAAACAACAATAGGGCTCCCAATTGCCCCAAGTGCAAGAAGGCTCATTTCAGCAACTGTTTGAATGGATCGACGAAATGTTACAAGTGCGGCCAATAAGGACACTTCATCAAGGATTGTCCACAATGGGGAGATCAACAGATAGCAGCTGAGGCACCGAGGATGGGCAGAGTTTACACGCTAGATCAACATGTGGCGGACCAGGCAGCTGAACTAGTTAAAGGTATGATCTATATCTGTGGTGAAGACTTAGCTGTCTTATTTGACTCGGGTGCTACCAACTCCTTTATCGTCGACTATGTGGCGAAAGCGTTTGACTTATTCACTGACAGACTGCAAGTCCCAATGCGGATCACCACTGCAACGGGGGAAGTTACCAAGACAGATCTCATATGTAGAGATGTCGAATTCATATATAAAGGAAAGAAGTATAAGCAGGATTTCATAGTACTCCCCATCGTCAAAATTAATTTAATTCTGGGGATGGACTGGCTCGCCAAACAGCGAGTAGTGATTGACTGCGACAATCGCAGTACAAGCATCGACAAGGAAGGGGTGGAGAACTCACCTCCCGAAGAGGGAGAATGCACCCTCATGTTGATAGGTAACCTCGTGGGAGCAGGAGAGATACCACTGACGAATATTCCAGTGGTCAAGGAGTTCGAAGACGTTTTTCCCGATGACATCACCACTTTCCCTCCAGAAAGAGAAGTACAATTTTCCATCGAACCGGTACCGGAACGGGACCAATTTCAATTGCACCCTACCGCATGTCACCCTTAGAGCTTGTAGAATTGAAGAAGAAATTGGAGGACTTGATACAGAAAAACTTCATCAGACCTAGTGTGTCTCCTCGGGGAGCACTGGTACTGTTTGTGAAGAAGAAGGATGGATCAATGAGGCTGTGCACAGACTATCGGCAACTCAACAAGGTGACTGTAAAAAACAAGTACCCATTGCCTCGTATCGAGGACTTAATTGATCAGTTAAGAGGTGCAAAGGTGTTTTCGAAGATTGATCTTCGATCGGGATATCATCAGATCCGGATCAAGCCGGAAGACATCCCGAAGACAGCTTTCAGATCAAGATACAGGCACTACGAGTACTTGGTCATTCCCTTCGAATTGACTAATGCCCCGGCAGTATTCATGAGCTACATGAACCAGATCTTCCAACCTTACTTGGATCGATTCGTGGTCGTATTCATCGATGACATACTGATATACTCGAAGAGCAAAGAAGAGCATGAAGAACACTTGAGAATTGTGCTACGAGTGTTACGGGAGAAACAACTGTATGCGAAACCATCAAAGTGCGAATTCTGGTTGCCAGAGATTCAGTTTCTTGGACATGTAATCTCAGAGAAAGGAGTAGCAGTGGACCCCAGTAAGATCGAAGCAGTAGTAAACTGGGAACGACCAAAGACTATCACAGAGATAAGGAGCTTCCTTGGACTAGCAGGATACTATCGGAGATTCATTGAGGGATTCTCGAAGCGGGTATTGCCACTCACCCGATTGACAAGAAATGAGGTCCTTTTTGTGTGGACCGAAGAATGTGAAGCTTGTTTCCAAGAGTTAAAAAGAATGCTGACGACAGCTCCATTACTGACACTGCTAGACTAGGAGGAACCATTTACCTTTTGAGGTATACTGTGATGCCTCCAAGATATGCTTGGGATGTGTACTGATGCAGCATGGCAGACCAGTAGCGTATGCATCCCGACAGCTGAAGCCGCATGAAGAAAACTACCCCACTCACGATCTAGAATTGGCAGCGATCGTGTTTGCCCTGAAGATATGGCGTCATCACCTGTACGGTGCAACCACAACAGTGTACAGCGATCACAAGAGCCTCAAGTATTTGTTTGATCAAAAAGAACTGAACATGAGACAGCGTCGTTGGATGGAGTTCATAAAGAGGATTTCCAAAACTTAGGCTTAGCAGTGGTGAATAGCGAATGCGAGGCCGAATATTGGGCGGTGCAGATCACCGACGAACTACTAGAAAGGATCAAACAGGCTCAGCAAGCCGTCGACTGTTTGAAGAGGCTAAGGAATCAATCTGGTGTTAGCCTGAACCAGCAAGGTATAATTACCTTCCAAGGGAGAATAGACTACGAAACTCCTGAGAGAGGAAGTCATGGAGCTAGCACATAAGAGCCAATACTCAATACACCCAGGAGCCACCAAGATGTACGCAGACTTGAAAAAGAATTTCTGGTGGAAAGGAATGAAGAGAGATGTGGGAAGATACGTAAGTAAGTGCATGGTGTGCCAGAAAGTAAAGATTGAGCATCAGCGGCTGGCAGGCACCCTACAACCCTTGAGCATCCCCGAGTGGAAATGGCAGAGTATATCTATGGACTTCGTAACCGGCCTACCCAGAACTCAAGCAGGCTATGATGCCATCTGGGTAGTGGTCGAAAGATTGACCAAATCAGCACACCTTATACCGGTGAAAGGAACTTACACGACAGAGAAGTTGGCTCAGATTTATGTAAAAGAGATTGTAAGGTTACATGGCGTCCCTGAAAGCATAATCATTGATCGGGATCCTAAGTTTACGTCTCGATTCTGGTCTTCATTACAGCAGGCGTTTGGGACCCAACTGCGATTGAGCACGACATATGCCCAAACAGATGGGCAGACAGAAAGAACAATACAAACACTTGAAGACATGTTAAGAGCCTGCGCTTTAGAGAAGGAAGGTTGTTGGGATCAGTATCTGCCATTGGCAGAATTCTCTTACAATAACAGTCATCATGCCAGTATCGGTATGGCCTCGTATGAAGCACTTTATGGAAGAAGGTGTCGTACACTTGTATGCTGGGAAAAAGTGGGCGACAGAGAGATGTTCGGGCCGGACATGGTGAAAGAAACGACAAAGCAGATTAAGATGATCCGCGACAGGTTGCGGAAAGCCCAAGATCGGCAGAAAAGTTATTATGACTTGAAGCACCGACCCCTAGAATTTGAAGTAGGGGATCATGTGTTCATCAAGCTCTCCCCTATTACTGGTGTTGGCAGAGCTCTCGGTGTAAAGAAGTTAAGCCAACGCTATATCGGTCCCTATCAGATTCTGAAAAGGGTAGGACCGGTAGCCTATCAGTTAGCATTACCACCCAATCTGGCAAACCTTCATGATGTATTCCATGTAAGCCAGTTGAAGAAGTATTTGGCGGATCCCTCACATGTAGTGTTACCGGATGCTTTGGAAGTAAGACCCAACTTGAAGATTCCGGTAGTACCTTACAAGATTCTAGACAGAGAAGAGAAGCGCCTTCGCAGCAAGGTGATACCAATGGTAAATGTACAATGGCAAGGAAGGACTCCCGAAGAGGCAACCTGGGAGCGAGAAGACGAGATCCGACAGAAGTATCCCGACTTAGAATAGTTGTAATTTTCGGGACGAAAATTTTATTAGGTAGGGTGGATGTAATAACCCAAAAATCATGTACTCGAAATTAGCCTAATG